CTGTAAGAGCTTTTGGTATATATCTACTGTGTAAACTTTATACGATAGGAATATAACTACTAATTTTCGGTTAGAAATTAATTACTAACTCTCATTTATAAATTATAAAGGCCATTCATAATTAAAAAGAAAGCTACTCAAAATTTTGTGAAAAAAAAAAAAATTGTTAACCGGAGTTTAAAAAAATTAAATTAAAGCCTTGCGCGTCGTACCCGCCCCGCCCTGCGTCTGAATCGGGAGCGGCAAATCCGCCCCAGTGTCGTTCCAGCCCCGGCTGGGATCAGTCGGTGTTTAAGCATAAGCAAATTGAAAAAAAAAAAAAAATGACTTTGATATCTGCCCAAAGAATGAATTAAAATCTGAATTTAGCAGCCCTAACAATAAAAAAATTAAAAATCGAATCGAAGTGCATTGACCGAAGTTGTGTGGGTAATTACGTTGACAATTATTTTAAATTTTCGATGGATGTTTCTTTTTTAATTCTGTACTGCAAATGGTGTAATAATACGACAATGTTCTAAAGCATACAAGTGTTTTTACTAAAAATATACTGTTTATTAAAAACTAGTCGGTTGTTAGAGTAGAAAAAGAACTATTTCGGCTGAGCAACAAGTGATACAGCTGGTTATTTCCCTTGTTACTAGCCCATGTAGTAAATTTATTATACACTAGCTGTCATATCATATACCTTCTCCGAAAATAACATTATCCTGTGTTTTAAGGACGTTTTACAAACATAAATATCACATGGACAAACACCGAGATGCGGAAAAACTATCTGTGGGTCACACAAATAGATGTTCCGTGTGAGGCTCGAACCCACTATATTCTTTCATTATTAAATTTAACTCTTCCATGCACTTCGCCAGAACTCTCGCTATTTCCAACAAGATTCGCATTCCCCTCCAACGGGAGGTTCTGGCTCCGCCTTTTGATGTTCACTCTAGGGGTAGGGACCACAAGGTCACATGGAGTCAAGGTGCGCTGTGTAGGATCTTTTTGGTTTTTCTTTACAGTTCTCTGTTATTTAAATATTTTTTTGTTTGCTATATCGAAGTAGTAGCCTTCTAAAATTTTTCCTTATTCCGATCGGTTCAGTAGTTTTCGCAGTGTAACCGAACAATAAAATCGGCTCTCCATTTATTAGTATAGATAGAAAAGTCATATATCTTATGTTGTGAAGATTAAATAAACAAAAAAAAAATAGGGATTTGCGGTCATGCCCACAGAGAAAGTCTATCGAAAATGCTTCAGGATTTATTAGAAACTGCCTACCGTCATAAATTTTGCACGTAAGAAAACTTATTTGCTTTAACCCCCAAATTAGAGCCCGAGAACATTTTTTGGAATAATAAAAAATAGACATTACATATTATTTCAAAGTTACTACCCTTTTTTTAAGTTACAGCAAATAAGTTTTATTACTTTGTACGTATAAGAAAGTGTATCAGTTCCACCCGTAAGTCTGTAACATCGGTGGTATCACTTTGCATGTCAATTCCGTCGTAAGAATCACACGTTTGAATCTATGTGCAAAACTTAGTTGCCGTGAGGCATTAATGCGGAAATATTTATAAAATTTCGATCATAACGTCCGTTTAGGTTGTACATTACCCAGCATAATATTTGATCTTTTATAATTATTATATTATGATATTTGAATGTTTATAATGTTTAATCTTTTGTTGCATTAGGTGCCGTGCCATTGATGTGCCTCACTAAAAATGAGGTTCCGTGCCCAACGGGTAAAGCGGGACACTATTACTAAGACTCCGCTGTTTGTCTGTCCGTCCGTCATCAGGTTCTATCTATCTCATGAACAGTGATAATTAGACAGTTGAAATTTTCACAGGTGATGTATTTCTGTCGCCGTTATAACAACAAAATTTTATATTAAGTGCTTACCACAATAGCTATCTGCAAAAAATGCGGCCCTATTCCACTCACTAGATAATATAAGAACGTATTCTTAAATATCTACTCTTAAATCAAGCTGTCTCCCAGTCTACCTCACAAAACAAAAACCCCGTCTACCATAACTTGAAAATAAGAAACGAATAGATCACATGTGAAAGCTAGACATTGTAGAGGTTCCTCCCACTTCGGGAAACATGTGACCTAATGAACATTCTCACCGTCGACAGTGTTATGTCAACAATCTCATCATGCGACAATATGTCGTCTCACCGAAGATGTACTATCTTTATGATGAAGGCGGGCGTAATTATAAAATTGTGGTAAGTTAGTTTTTATGCAATAGCATTTATGTCCAGTCATTATTGTGACATGTTTTGAATGCGTTCAAATATTTAAAAGCCTGATTGTAAAATCAATGTGAAAACTCAAACAAATTTTTATAGTCAAGGTAGAATACTCGAAAGTAAATTATATTTAAACGATATATTGAAAAGTTATAAAACAATAATTAAACGCATTAAATTATTGTACATTCATTCACTATGATTAAAATTAAAATTAAGGCTATATATTACATTTATGTACATACATTAGACAAGAATATTATTAATAATTGTTCATTTAATTTTACTTTATTTCGAGCATTCAATATTCTTTGGTTCAGAGTGCCGTTCGTACCTTGAGTACGTCTTTTGCCCTCACACCGCGCTACTTGTCAGTCGTGATATTTTTTAAAAGATGCTACAAAGGCTCTACGAACGGTCGAGGCTACGCTCCTCGTAGATACGGCACGTGTAAAATGAAATCTTAAGTGTCGTAACGATCTGAATAATTAAATAAATGATTGTTTGGAACTTGGTGCTAAAGATTGAATATCGAATTAGTGCCTGTGTGAAATACGGGGTTTGAATTTGAATTGAGGGTTATTCAAATTTTAAATAATATGACTTGACTTTTTTAATAATCTTATAGTTTATGTGAATACAATGGGTTGGAAATATATAAAAATAATTTTCTAAGGCGTTTTAATAAAACAAGAAGTCTTAGATAGCAGAGTTGAAGCCAAAATATTGTAGCCGGCAAGTTCAATATATCAAGGCAATAATCTTAAGTCAAGAGTTGAAAAACTTCTTTGCAATCTATTGTTGATATGGAAAAAGGAGTATCCTTATTGATCCGTTAAACAAGAAAGAAAATAAAAATGAATGACAGTACAAATTAATATGAAAGGAGAGTCGTGAAAATTATCTGGAAATTGGCGGCCTCAAATAGGCTCTTATCGGGTTCTACGTAAGCGGATAACTTTTAAATTTCTTTTATAGTGCTAATCTCTACACTTAAGAATCAACATTAAAATTTTGTAGAAAAAGTACGAAAAGATTGTCGCCGCTGTGGGAATGGAACCCACGTCTACGGCATTCGCAGCCTGACGCTTTAGCCACTAAGCTAAACGGCTTACTTTTTCTACAAATTTTAAAGCGGATAAGTTATTTCGCTTATTCTGACATCATGATGTCAAATATGCAAAGGGTTAATGACGTAACGAATGCCATAAGTTGGAACATACTCTTAGTTTTATTCGTAGCTCTCAGGGACAATGTCCGGTTTCGAAATTGCTACGCCCTTTGCAGGTTATGATCGCCTGGTAACCTAAGGTTTTTTCTTATCTAATCATCTTTTAATAGAGATTTAATATTACATTGACATATGAGAGACAATATTGAAGGGAGTGAGAAAAGGTCAGTAGCGCTGATCGTTAAAGGGCGCTTGATTGAAACCTTGAACTCTGAAACCTTACCGTAAACAAATTTGAAGTAGACAATTATATATTAAATAGAAAACTATATTTATATGACGACTGTTGATACTCACGTAGGCACTAAAATAAGACTTATATCTGTCCTATTATAACGTAAATTAATCGTTTTAAAAAGAGCAACTGTTGAGTTTCTTGCCGGTTTCTTCTCAACAGAAGCTGCTTTTCGAACCGGTGATTCGACCGGGAACTTACTTACGAACGTATTAATTTTTATGTAAAACTTTAAAAAAGAACGCGCAAGCGTATATGTGAATATAGATATTTTGAATTAGAAAAAAAAATTAATTTGAATTTATGTCAAGGTACATAAAGTACTCATGACGGGACACATTACGATAGCGATATTTACTTTGACACAAAAAAAAGAATACTAAATGTACATTTCAATTTCTAAAATTAAGAATCACCGTCTAGCTATGACCGCTGGATTAAAAATTTCTGTTAGCAGCAGAAATTTCACTCGCCACTTTTCATTTGTACCACCATTAGAATTTGAAGGACGAGTAGAAATTATGCAAAAAGATACCCTAAACGGTTGCATGAGAGTTGAGAATGCAATGCCAGCGGCGGATGACGGCGAGAAGCTGAGGAGAGATCCATTGCGGCTGCGCCAACGGAGAGCCAGCTAAGTGCTAGTGATGTGCCAGTTGTTGGAATAATGTCCGTTAAGTACCTTAACGGGAGTAGCCTGTATTATTGAGTTTTTTTAGTCTTAAAAAAGCAAAGGTGCTCTACAGATCCGTACAGTCCTCTACAAATCTGTAAAAGACAAGGGCGTCATGAAGCGTTTCGGTTACTTTATGAATTTCATATGGACAAGAGTGACAATACATCCAACGCAGTTTGATAAATTTTGTAAAGTTGTACCGCCTAACAAAATAGCAGGAAAAAATAGGCATATTTTTGTAGATAACACTTTTGTGTTGCAACTGGTTAGTAAGAAAGCCTGAAGACCTTCTTTTAAAATTTGACAAACAATGAATTTAACCTCAATCCTGCTGGTAAGGCTTGTTCATATCCCGCCATCTTTTACAAAAAAATTGCTTTAAGCTAAAAAGCGAGCATCCCTGAAATATAATTGGAACCTCTATTAGTAACTCACATCACTATGGGTTTCAGCATTCAGTAACCTCTCTCCCAAGGATGGATGAATACGCGACGCCGCTCTTCCGCGGCTGAGAGGCCTACAATAAATAAACCATAGAGGCCTTGTGACGTGTTTGTGGTGAAGTATGTCATAAATTGTCGAATACCAGTGTCCAAAATGGGCGTAGACAGCCAGCCAACGCAGCGGCCTGTTGTGAGTGCATTATTTGTCACTGTTCACTATTGTGTCACTGGCGTATTTCCAAACTGCATTGTATATCTGTAGATTTACCGCGTACTCAATTAAAAGAATCTGTTAAATATACTAAATGTATAAATAGATGTATATATTTTGCATTTTACATTGCCACATTATTGTAGGATGTTATAAATATTTAACCAAAGAAGAACATTTATTGAGCATTGCATTACGAACAGTTCATATTTATTTTGTGCTTTTATTTTTTATATATTTAAAATGAGTTGAATTCTTAACTGATTTTCTCAACTGTGACGTGTCCAGTGATGTTTAATTTTCTTTTATTAGATGAGTTTGAATTAATAGGAGAGCTGCAAAATCCAAAAACAATGACATGTTTGAGAACAGCCAATATTCTCGGTATGACATTGATGGTTTTATAAAATAGTGTCACAAGAAGAGACACTATATTTTTTGTTATGTATACCACTGCTCCATTTAATTTCCCGCTATAAAATCCACCAGTTCCTTACGACTTGCTGAATTTTACGAGCGTCGATTAAGCCCTGCGACCGGCGCTGTGACATATGTTGAAGCTTTAGAATAACTCTATATAAAAACAATATCATACATTTTTTGGAATGTTCCATTAAATATGTGTTTACTTTTTCTTAAAAGACCCACCATTAAATATAGGAGTATCCCCAAAACGTAGCTAGTTTATAAATAGAGTGCGAAAGAGGGATAGAGGGAGGGTTGTTAAACAAAAACTTTTGCAACAATAGTTTGTAGTAACGTCTCAATTGATACTCTTTTTCAGGTATGTAATTTAAATATTGTCCTACATTAAAATCCTTTAAGATTCTTCATATTATATGTTAACATGCTTACTAAGAATTTTTTATTAACGTCAGTACCGAATTTGCTTTGTCTTTTTCTCCGTTACTTAAAAATAGATTTGGTTTCTTTTCCTTCTTTATTGTGTACGGTTAAAGTTATGACCGCAGACACAGTCACCAATCTTTATCGAAATTAAGATGTTTTTATATTTCTAAACACCATCATGCTAGCATGTAGCATGTGTCGGGCTGTCCACGTGTCGCATGATCGCACTGGTTGGCGATATATTGTTCGTGGTCACGATCCTCAGCATTGAGGGAACGAGGAAGAAGAAGATCATGCTGGCTTAACTGTGGTACGATCACTCACCAGTTTTCACTGTTGCACGAGTGGGCATGTCCGTCCGGGTTAGTTACCACGACCTCACAGAAGACCGGCGTAAAGTAAAAGTGCTACACTTCTGCGTTTCGTCCGGTGAGTGAGGTAGCCGGGGCCCACTTTGTTTAAAGGATGCAACACATTTGCGACCCTCCGGGTGTTGCAAATGTCTATGGGCGGTGGTTATTACTTAACATCAGGTGAACCGCAAGCCCGTTTGCCACTTTTTCACATAAAAAAAATGTTGGCATTCTGACTCGGAATTTGGTCAAGGACAATGCAGATCGTAACTGTTCTTCAATTTTTAACGTACTTTTGACACTGTCGTTGTTACAGTTGGAGCTGAGACAATGTGCGAGACTTGTTTCTCAACACCCAAGAATGACATAAATAAATAATCAGTAGCGTGCGGAAAGGTCTTTGTTAAAATATTTCCGTTGTCACGTTACATTTTCCTTATGAGAGTTCGAGTCTCCTTTGTGCTTCAACTTCTACGTTATCACGATTAGGGGATCGCGTAGCGTAGTGCTACGTTAGGAACGCGTCTACAACTGCCTTGCGTTCGTTTAGCTACATAACAAAGGTGTGTGTGCGTGCGTGTGCGTGCGTGCGTGCGTGCGTGCGTGCGTGCGTGCGTGTGTGTGTGTGTGTGTGTGTGTGTGTGTGCGTGCGTGCGTGCGTGCGTGCGTGCGTGCGTGCGTGCGTGCGTGCGTGCGTGCGTGCGTGCGTGCGTGCGTGCGTGCGTGCGTGCGTGCGTGCGTGCGTGCGTGCGTGCGTGCGTGCGTGCGTGCGTGCGTGCGTGCGTGCGTGCGTGCGTGCGTGTGTGTGTGTGTGTGTGCCTTTTCAAGCGACTTCAAAAAAGGAGGAGATCCTCAATACGACTGACAGCATTTCTTTTTTTATTTTTTTTTTTATGGAGAAAAGGGACAAACGAGCAGGAGGCTCACCTATGTTTGTTACCTCAAAACTTTCGACTGGGTGAACCGATTTAGATGATTCTTTTTTTATTTAACCGATTTGGTGCTTCCCATGTGGTCCCCCCATAATTTTATTTCATTGGGATTGGACCTTAGGCTCTGGAGATACTTACGGAACTCATTAAAATCAATTATAAAATGAATACAGAGCGATATATTGGTAGTCCATTTTGTTTTTCGCTAATAAAAATATGGCATAGTTTTTAATTAAATTATTTAATTTTTTTTTCATTAATGGACACGTTCTCTTAAATATCTATGATGTAGGTTTAGCGAATCTTAAATAATTAGTAAAAGTAAATTTCATTCTCGTGCCCTTTTACCGATGAAGGTTTCCTCAAAGGAGGTGTTCTAAATATCGGCTACGGTGCCGTGGCATGGCCTACATCGGCGCAATATCCGAGTAGATGCGCCTCAATATGTCTTATTCTATATGCATGGAACGCATTTAAAGTGACGCGGGAAAGGCGAGCATCGAATGATTTTTTATTAGATTAAAAAAAATCTTTCTTATATTTTGTTTGCAATGTAACTAGACTTAATAGGGAAAGGGCAGAAAAAATTGAAAACAACTGCGAGTGGGACTAGCGCACGAAGGTTTCCGTACTATAAAAACGACAAAAAAATCATGTTTGTTGTATGGGAGCCCCTCTTAATTTTTTTTTAATTCTGTTTTTTATTATTTGTTGTTAAAGCGACAACAGAAAAATATCATCTGTGAAAATTTCCTCTGTCCAACTATAACAGTTCATGATATACAGCCTAGTGACAGACGGACAGACAGATAGACAGCGGAGTCTTAGTAATAGGGTCCCGTTTTAACGTTTGGGTACGGAACCCTAGAAAACATACAGACATACATAACGACTTGCGTCGTTATGTATGTCTTTTAATTTTCCCTTAGTTCCAACGACATTTAGCCACGTGGTCTGCGTAAAAGAATAGACATTAATGTATACTTTGAAGTATGCACTGAAAGAAGTACGAGCATATCTAGGTTCTAAACGGTCGTTATTGTTTTATTAAGTGCAACTTTTGTATTGATATCCTCATGAAATATATCCGTAGACAACCGTAGACTGCTAGACATGAAATATATCCGTAGCGACGCTACAGTCTACAGCTTACTCTACGGATGTAACACAGAAGCTAGTTTATAAAGATTATAGAGAATTTTAGACGGTGTCAAGAAAGGGAAAATGTATTTATTATTATTTCATTGTGACCTACATGGTAGTGAAGCCATATAATCGGTTGGTACGGTTGGTTTCAAGGCAAGGTGAACTATTTATATATATAATTTTACTGACAGTGAATTACTATAACGTATACTGTCTCTTTCTAGCTATTACATCTTTGTAAAGCTATAAATAACTATCACATTTCATTGTCCAAGATTGAAATAAGGCCAAAATAGAGATGTCATCGATCTACACACTACTGATAGCTTTACCTAATCCACGTAGGTGCGACACACTGAAAAAGTTATGGAGCGACAAACATTAGTTTTACGACACCGATGAACTCGCCACGTTTCCGCGTTCCGTCGATAATTAGGACGGTTTTACGATCCTATTAAGCTGAGCAATCTCGATAACGTTCGATCTATTTCTGCAGAATAGTAATTAAGTAGTAAATATTAAGAAATTATGACGTCAACGTAATTCTAGTCGGTATTAAATGTAACCTTTAGTGTGAATCGACCAACAAAACCTACCACGTATACTCGTATATTACCAAATATTGACATTATTAAGGATATTGCCGCCTTAAAGACTATAGCTACATCACAATCGTGCCAGACCTTGTAAGTTTAACACGTCTCACAGTTACGGACTTTAAATAGTGAAATGTGAAAAAAAAAGTTAAATCTGTCGTCCTCGCTAGACTCCAGGGACTGCGTAGACGTAAATATTTCGCCCTCATGTTTTATCATAGTCCGGAATGAAAACTATTCAATTACTAAACTACTTACTATACTTATATTGTATACAGTATGAGTTACTTTCTTTTAACTTTCATTAGAATGCTATTAAAATATTCAAAGCTATAATAAATAAAATATATAATAAATAAATATTCAAAGGTCGGGAAGTGGAAAGGGGTGAGTTTTTAAGGGTAAAAACAGTTTATCTCGATTTCCGGCAAAATTACAAGTCCTATGGAAAAAATTTAAATGGAAATTTGTAGATAATAAAAAGGTCTACTTTTTTTTCTTTACTAGATTAGATTATTATCTATTTAACATTTTTTTAACGAAACTAGTGCATCATAATATTGATGACCTGAGTGGCGTACGGAGTAGTAAACCTGCTTCTTGCGTCAGAGGGTATGGGTTTGATCCCCACTACTGGAAAAATATTGTGTGACGAATATAGCGTTTTTCCAGTGTCCGGGTGTTTACATATGTTTAATATGTATTTATTTACAAAAGAAAAGTATGTTCATCAGTTAACTAGTACCCATTTTACAAGCGTTGCTTAGTTTGGGACTAGAGAATGTTGTAAAAATGTGTACGAAAATATTTATTTAACTATTTAAAATTATAAATTCATAGTAATGCGCCGTTAAACATTAGGTATTCAACGGTTACGGACAGATAACTGGTTTTAACAAATGGCCGCCGATTTCAATTTGCGAAGCCGCGGCGCGCAACCTTAACTCGATTTTCGCTATGCCGTCGCTTTAAATCAGTCAATTCGTATTTAGTTAATTGAGTATTGTTTTTGTCAATGTTTGGGATTATTCACTCAGTTCTTTTCTCTTCGAGAAAACAATGGCGAGTACAAGGTCCTTTGTTCTTTGTATGATATGCAATAT